GAAATGTCAATTCATTAAAATCATTACAGCTCGAGAGCTTTATCTTTCTGCCAAGAAGACACCCTTCCTGCTCTCACCGGCTGTGGACTGGAAATCACAGTACCTAAGAATCATTAATAGGTTTTTCAGCCTGGCACCTGGAAGCAGTGAGGCATTCACACTGTCTGCCCACACAGGTGTCTGACAGCTGCTCCTCAGCAAATCTTTTAACCCTCTGGTCAGTTTTGAGTATTTTTGGATAAAGGGTAATGACCGCAGCCCTTGGAAGGTCTTAACAGCACTGCGAAAATCAACACCTACTAATGGCAAAATATAAAAATTGGGATCTGACCCGAAATAAGTTGATAGCACCCCTAAGAAAACGTGCTGGATGGACAAAGAGCGGCCCTGGCTCTGGCTAATGGCTCTGCAGCAGCCCAAGAGGGCACCTGATGGGACCACCAGGCAGGAGGAAGAAGGCTTTGCTGAGGACCTGGCAAGATGGATTTTCAATGAGATGTAGCACAGATAGTCAGGAAATCGAGCTTCACTAGTCTCTCTGCTCACAGAATGAATTTGTTATTAGGACTGTGGTGATGTAAGTTTACATAGGTCACTGTGACAGAAAAAATATATCATTTTTATCTTCAGTCTGCTTCATCTTCACCATTTTTAAATCACAGGATCAGTCTGACTGGTTCATTGTTACTTATTAACCACACTGACAAAGGCTTCGTTTTATCTCCATGCACAAATACCCTCTTCCTAAAATGTACATTGGCTATCTATGTAAACAAGGGATTAGTTTTTCTTCTGATTTTATTACATTGTCTGTTTGCGCCCTCTTGAATATATATGACTAACTGAGCCTTTATTTCAGCCATTTTACAATGCAAGGAAACTGTATAGTGCTTTTTTCCTGTTTTTCTTTTTTACTGCAAATATGGTATTTAATCCCTACAAATATGAATCTAGATAGTCTTCCAGTATTCTTATTCATATATTATGGTCAACTCTATCAGCTTCCTAATAACATGTAGCATTGTTTTTCCTAGTCTTGACTGTAAGTGGGCCCACTGATCTACCATTACTACTCTTCCAACCACAGTCTGGATTAGAATATAAACAAACTAATATAAACACAAATATATACAAACACATTCTGACAGCAACAATGACCGAAAAATGCATTTGGATAATGTATGTTAAAGATGTATAGGTTGGCTGCTGAATCCTGTGAACTCCAGGACTCAAGGATCTGTCTGGGCTGACTGGTGCAGCCCAGCTGTGGGCACACAGGGTCTCTCCATCCCAGTCTGTTGGACAGAGCTCCTGTCTGTGTGCAGGTTTGTCCAGCAGCAAAGCTGAGCATCTGTCCCAGGTAGGCACACAGAGAGCACCAAGGCAACTGCACACAGAGATTCCCCACAGTGCCAGACCACTGCCTTCAGCCACACTTGCATAAACACCAAAAACCCCCACCTTCCTCCTCTCCAACTAATAAGGATTGAAATCCTCTATGAAAATCCTCTGTATGTGTCCTCACTAGTGAGATTCACAAGTGCAGTGACATTCACAGATCCTTAAACATCAACCCAGCTTGTAAAGCCCTCTAAAACCCATGCCTGGGCTCCTTTATCCAGTAAGTGGGTCCCCTCCTAGTCTTCAGACAATCCAGTTTGAACTTTGCTAGCAAGAAAATATGTGGACCACACACTTGTCTCACAAGCCTCTCCACAGTCATGGATTCCTCGAATTTAGCACAGCTTCTCTTTCCACCCATGCCCAGACCCTGTGCCCACTTATTCAGCATCACCTCAGACCTTGAGTCCTTCCACATTCAGGCTTCCTCCTGCCCATCAATTAGTCCAGCTTAAAAGTTGTTGTATAATTACACATACACATGCATACAAGATTAAATTAACTGGGGGAAAGATAAGCATATTTTGTTATTTACATGTGCTACTATTTAAACCTCTCCATATAAATATACACCCTGATCCCTCTACTTGCTGACAACTTGACCTACCCACTGTTCCTCCAATTGGCACAATCCTAGTGTCTAGAAGAAAATAATTTCATCCTAGATGATGAGTGTTCTCTTTTAGAATGATAGAATAATTTCAGATGGAATAAACCTCTAAGATCAACTAGTCTAACCATTAACCCAGCCCTGCCAAGTCCTCTATTTAATCATGTCCCTAAATGCCACATTTACACGTCTTTTAAATACCTCCAGGGTGACTCCCTGGGCAGCCTGTTCCAGGCTTAACAAGCCTCTCTGTGCAGAAATGTTTCCTAGGATTAAATGCAAACCTCCCCTGCTGCAACTTGAGGCCACTACCGCCTGTCCTATACTTGTTACTTTGGGAAAGAGACAGACCCTCACCTGTCTACAACCTCTGTTTAGGCAGGTGTGCAGGCTGGTAAGGTCTGCCCTGACCTTTTCATGCTCGTCTCTGACATATTGGTCTTCTAGTTGCTGCCACCAAGATCTATGGGTTCTTTCTCCAGTTGCTAGCACTTACCTATTGCAGCACTCACATGTGATACAAAGTTTTGCCCGGTCCCCAAGCACCCACGACACCGACAGCAGGCTCATTCCCCCTTCCCACCGCTTAGGGAGCCAGGATCCCCCCCACTGCTGTGCCCGAGGACAATCCCTAATGGCCCATCAAGCAGTGGCAGAAGGGGTCTGGTCTGTCTTCTTGTTTCCTTTACCACCTGCTGATAAGTTTGTGTATCTGCATGCTTATTCCATTCCTTTTCCTTGTTATGTATTGCTACTTCTAAACTGGAAAGTTAGAGCCAGATAACTTAGAGAGGCCAATCCTCCCCATCCCACACAGCCTCACAATACACATTTTGCAAGCTCTTGGTGCCTGAGGTGGCCTGAGGGGGAGAGGGATCCATGAGTTGAGGGGCTCACTACTGAAAAGCTTGGTACAAGCAAGAGGGGAAAGCCGCTGAAAAAAACGCCAGGCATCCTAGCAGGACACAGAGCTAGAGCATCTCTTTATATTTTCTTTTTCTTTCTTTTTCTTTTTTCTTTTTTTTTTTTTTTTTTTTTAAGCATAGGTTTCACTCTAATTTATATTTCTATGGTTTTACAAAGCGAAATATGGAAGTTGATTCAGAAATTCCAAACAAAAGTTTGCTGTGCTGCAACTGTGGGCAGCACAAGTAGACAAGCAAGGGCTCAGTTCTGCCGGAGGAGATGATTTGAGTAAGATGTTATCCAAGAAGGTTGGCAACACAAAAAGGCACATCGCTCCTGCAAGCGAACCTCAGGGAACATGTTTCCCTGCTCTCCTTTTCAGTCCTGTCAAAGTTATGAGAAAACGCGATACCATTCCCAAAGGTAATCATTCTGCAGCTTCAAATCAGTCCTCTCTCTCATTGCCCAGGAATCTCAGGTAGGACCCGGCTTTCCTGCAAAAGTAGCCACATCAATCACGCTTAATAAAATTGTACGGCAGCTTGGAATTGTGAGTCAGCCACAGCAGCTGCTCCACACGTATTCCCATAATGTTTGAGTGATGTTCCGGAATGAGAAATTAGACTTCTCATCCTGAAACCCTGTGCTGCTGGTGTTACTAATCTAATCCTAAAGAGCATCCTACTGAACTGTCTCTCCTCTGACCAAAACTAACATGGAAGCAAATGAGACTTAGATAAAGCACTAAGGGAAAAGCTTTCCAGAATATTGAAATTTTCCAGAATAGTAAGAATAGTGAAGCAACGAGATCAGTCTCCTTCACAAAATAGGGTTTTTTTCAAGACTAAGTCCGGCAAAACGTCTCCTAGGAATGGCAAGATGAAGCTACGACATAAGAGGGGGTTAAGGGGTTAAGACGTGGAGATCAGGTTAGTAAGGTTTATTGAATATACACTGAAAAATGCTTCTCTAAGAACCCCATCTCTTCTACATACGAAAAGTCTTTTCTTCTCCACAAAGCCCCATGATTGTATTCTTAGCAAACAGCACTGAATTTGCACTCCAATAGACAGAAGGGTGGGTGATTGGTGGATTTAAATGATCATTAGAAGCCTATCTTCAGCTCCTCAAATTCCCCATCACAGCTTAGCCCTGGGGTCCGTCTAAACTACTTCAGTCCTTTGGCATCGGCACAGGTTTCAGCCACGGCCATGGTCCGGGATAGCCACCCCCGCAGCCTCACTCCAAGAAATCTTCCCTATCCCCACTGGAATGTCTTCCTGCTATCCTCACAGCTTCAGCTGCAGAGAAATTCCCCACAAACATATCTGAGGCTTTTTGAGTCAGCACATTTAAACTCTTACAGCCAGTGACAGAAACAACGATTATGTTCTCACACCAAAAATTAGGAGGAAAAGCAAGAAAATTGATTCACTTCAGTTCCCATGGGAAGGCTTCAGACCTGTGAGCAGCTCCTCCAGAGCTCCCGATGCAGCCTGCTACAATTAAACAAGATCTTGATACTAATGTCAGGTGTTATGAGTACATATTTTGTGGTCCTCTTCTCACCTAACACATTCCCTACCTTTTCCATTTGTATACCTGGGTCTAGCACAAGGAATTTGGGAACTACAAAAGCCTTATGCTATGATGAAGACAAGCAAAACGTAAGCAGCTTAAGCAGCTAATACTGTTGTATGACTATTCCACCATTGCTACATGAAAATGTACAAAAATTCTTTATAATGTGTGATTTTGCATCATTTGCCTATCTATATGGGAGGAATACAAAAGATGGCACAGAAAGACAGAGTACTGTGCATGGATGATATATTGTTATACTTTCTGCCCATTAGGTAAAATAAAAACTGGAAGAAAAGCAGGAGAAACAATACATTGCATCTTCAAAAAATCTAGTCACTAAGTAGATAAGGGGGAAAGTAATTCTTCTTCTGTTCAGTTTCCCACCCCTCTCTTCTTTTTTCCTCTCTGTCCCCCATAAAAAAAGTCTAGAAATTTCAATTGCATCAGAATCTATTTTTGTATGTTAAGCTAATAAATCACCATTTTTCCTCAATAAACATTGATGATTTAACTGACAGTTTATTTTAAAAATAGATCAAGCATTTGGTCATATAAGTGCTGTATTTTATCCCTAATGGAAATAATTACACTTACTTAAATGCATGAAGAAGCAAGGAGGAAATAAAATAGCCATCTATCTTATCCAGAGGTCTACCCGGAGTCTTTACCAGAAAACATAAGGTTTTACACTGTGGTGCTATAAAAGCTGAAAAACAAATGTTCCATTCACCGTTGTCCTTGACCATTAACAAAGGGACAGGTTTTAGGATTTATGATAGTAGCAGGTACTGCAGTGACAATCTGTATGGTTCTCTATCTTCACATTGTCCTTAAGGGTAATCTTAAAAAGAAAACACACACATATAACAAGTAATTAGGATTAGCTGCGCAGTAAAAACAACATTGTCAAGTAAAATATGTCTGAAAACTTTTTCTTAACTACGAAGTACACAGGCCCTTTGGGGTACATGTACTAGAAAGACCTCAACACCAACCCATGAAGCTGCATCATCACTGGTTTTGGAGCTGTAATGTGAAGGGTTTCAGTAGTGACATGCATAGTGACATAATTAGCTGCTCTTTAACTTGGACACTCCTTAAAGCGTCTAATTTTCCAAAAGTGTCAAGTAACAATATATGGAAAATCAGAAAATATCCTTAAAATACATCCCATGGGAATTATAAAAACAAAGGCAACAAACTGAAGAGTCACCTTCATATTTAAGCTCAACCAAATTCTAGCTGCTGCCTCTGGGCAAATATAGCATTGCCAATGTAGAATAAGATCTATGTTCTCCTCAGGTGAAGAGCCAGGATTGATTCAGCATAGTTTAATGTCAGGTATCTGACTCATCATCACAGCTAGTGGAGACCCAGTGCTCACCAAGCCTCCAGCTGTCACTCTAGAAACACTTTCATAGGTTCTGTGTCTGCCAGCCATACTCATATGACTTCAGTGCCCTAGGGTATTTCAAATGCACCAAAACTGTGAGTGGGTAACTCAGCTGAACCTCTAGCTGACACATTTAATGAGCCTGATTTAGGTTACCATAGGATAGACACCTTAGCTTGTTTCAACTCTCTCACCATTTATTACATAAAAGGTTTCTTGACTTGGACCAGAAGCACTCCCAAAAGAATCAGATTTAGAAGAATCTTTAAAAGAATCTTCCAGATGAATGTTAAATGCTCACTGTACTTGTACACATTTACAGTTTCATCTTGGTTATACTATTAAAAAGTAGAACACCAACTCAATTAATCTAATGAGCACAGATGGGTTTTTTTGGCCCATCATTCCCACATATGTTATTGATAGTATTGATCAGACACCTTCCCAGAGAAGTCCTGTCTATGCAGGAAAGACACAAGACAATCAACTTATTAAAATCAAATACGCACTGCATAGCATTTTAGGGGAGGGTGCACATTCAGGAAAGTGGAAAATACTTGGACAAGTCCATCACCAGAGCTGCAGGTGTCATGAGACAAAGCAGTTTCATAGAATTCAGTGGCACTGCACCAATTTCCTCATCCCAGCTGAATATCAGACTTCCTACTGGTTGATGCTTTAGTTTCTTCTTCAGAAAAAAAAAAAAAGGAACAAGCCACAAAGGACATAAATGCCACAGATTCTTCCCTCAAACTTTTCTCCAGTGTTCTCCAGCAAAACCATATTCTTTACTATTCACTGCTTCAGCTTAATATTGCATTCTAAAAGAAGCTTAAGAAGACCTCATTCTCACCCTCACCTTGGTAAAAGCCTTTGCTACGCAGCATGTTGCTTCTGATGTAATGTTCTTTGGAACAAGCATGGTCTTCTTGGACCTCATTGGAGTGGGATAGGCACGGGAGAAACAGCACCCAGTGCACTGGTAAATGGGTGCTCCTGGCTTGGAAAAGAATCTGTTCTCCCCTAGCTTGCACTCAGGGCAACCTGCCATAAAAATATGAGGAAGAGAATTTTACTTGGTTTCCAGCTGTATTTTCATTTTCAAAAAGAAAGGGGAAAGTGCAGGCCAAAAAAGGAAGCACAAGCCACATTCTGCTGCTTGATGTCTGCAGAACAGAAAAGCACAGCCACCAAAGTTCTCCTCTTTAGGTTTTTTCAACTCTGCAACACGCACCAGCTGTAAAACTAGGCTGTGGCTTTCTAGGTAAACCACAAGCACTACTGGATCTTTGGTTTTCTTTTCAATTTTATTGATAATTGTGAAGGTTTGTTTCTGTCTACAGCACTAGCTATCCCTGGAAAACTTCCTACTAGCTGTAGGAAGCAGCAGGATTTGTAGTGCTTCTTAAACATTGCCTGTTTTCAGGTAAGATTCTGTTATCAAGAGCTCTTTAAATGTTCCGTGGTACCAAGATTTTTGTACATCACACTTTTTTTATATTGTATTTGAGGCTAAATAAAATAAAATAAAATTCTAATATGTGTCTTTTATAGAATGCAACACCACCAGCATCCCATATTCCGGGATCTGCATAGGAAAATATTCTGCATATTATGAGGAGAAGTTGTGGTTCTGCTGTTCCTAATGTTACATTGTCATTTAAATTGCAGGAGTACAAAAAACCAAACATTTCTGTTCAATAGTGTTTCAAGGATTAAGGTTACCCACATCAACTTAAGGACATGGTCATCTGGGACATCGTTGACCTAGAGAAATTAAATTTAGGGAAGAAATAGGAAGCATGCTCATAGTGAAATTATCTTGATTTATTATACCCTCATTGTCAATAAAGGCAACTGAATGATAAAATTTATGGCCATATTTATAAAATGTAAAAATTTAATTAATATTCTTTATAATTTTTCTATTTCTGAATGTTGAAAGCAGCTTACCCTGCATAAGAAATTCTTCATCTGGGAAAGTATGAAGAAGATGTAGAAATACAGACAAAATGGTCAACGTGACAGCTGCATACTTCCCATAGCAATCCATGATCTGTTTAGAAATGCAAATATACACATTTTTGAAGGCTGAGACCAAAGGCAGGATGAAAAGAACATGGTCCCTGCATGACAGGGGTTACTAAAGTGGAGAGAAACAAAGTTTATGAGCCAAACTAATATGCAGAGCTTTCCAGTGCAATGAATGAAGGCAGTGGAAACAAGCATCTTCCTAATTAAGGCAGAAAAAAAAAAAAACAGATGAAAGAGAATGATCTGAAGCTCAGCTAAGCAGAATGGCTAAGAGGCTGATAATGTGGTAGTTGCCAGGTGGCAAGGCTGGGTGCTGGGTACAAGTAACTTCACCTCCTCACTCCCACCTGCCCAGTGAGTCAGTTCATGCTGGCAGAAAACAGAGGATAAAGGAATTAAAAGCAGCCAATAACGATCGGGAAGAAAAAACATTGGCAACAATTTTGGAAGCACTAGAAATAAGCATTTAGAAGAGGTATCCAAAAGCCAGTTCAGTGTATGCATGTAGCTATGCATACGGGCTCCGTGCAACCTGTGATTTTCCATCTCTGCTTGGACTTCTGAAAGCTTTGGAAGCATTGAACATGGATGTCAGGCTCCTGAGAAGCAGCTTCCAGCCCTCTGTGGCCTGTTCCTTCAACAAGAGTAAGCTGTGTCTGCAGGAGAAAGGTGGTCCTTCACACTATTTAGATCCACAATCTCTTCTGGTCCTGCCAAACTTTTTGGGAACTGAACTGAGCTCAACAGCATCTACGGAGCCACACAGAGTGGATTGGCTGGATCCCTCCCTCCGGAAAATAAAACACTTTTTTAAAGGTTGTTTTCTGTATATCCTCTTCCCAGTCCCTTAGAAGGAGTGTGACTGCTGGCAGACTTGCCTGCACTGAAACACAATTCCACAGTTCAATGTTAAACTCTGCTCCATCCAAGGGAACATTCCCCAGAGTGCAAGATATCAACTAGAGAGTCTCATGCACCAGCAGAAGACAGACAGACTTTTCCAAATGATCTGTTTCTACATCATCCTGATCCTTTTGATAGCCTAAATGCTTCAATGAATCCAACAAGAGAAGCCAGCCACAGGAATGACACCACAACCCTAGACAGATTATCCTGTTTTCTGTTTTTTGCTGAAGGCACTGTGGCATTCTTCACCCTAATTTTTTCAAGAAGGCATAATGCTATAATTTGGTACATTGTAATGGCTCGAGGGAATCCCAGAGGAATATTTTTTACATTATATTAACCAAAAGGGGAATTGAAATTGCACTTTTGCACTTCCTCTATTGAGTCAGATTGTCAGGCTCATACCAAAACCACCAAAGAGACCTGTCAATAAACCGCAGATGTGATCTTCTCTACTTTTCCAGAGCAACAGCTGTTTTGTTTGATGGTCTTACTTGAATTATCTGACTGTGCCCATGCTGGTCACCCCGTTAATGTTCTCACCACTCATTTCATCTCACCATCAAATCCAAGGAAGCTTCTACTTTGTTCTATTAAATATTATCTTTCTTAAGCTACTGGAACAATGTATAATGCGAATTTCAGGAGCTCTTTGGAAAGATGGTAATTTTAAATCTTTCCCATCAGGTAAATTCTCACCTCGTTATTTACAGTATCTTGTCTTTTTCTGTTAAAGACTCTAAAAGATGTGCTAATATCACAGGCTGTGTAATGTTTGATATCTGACAGCAATTGCCACCATTCATCAGGAGAAAAACACGAAGTTACTAATGAAGATGTTTGGGACCTAATCCGAAATCAAAAATTATCAATGTTTAGCTGCAATCTAATTCTAGAGCCTCATTTTCTCTTACAAAGTAAGCTTAACCCTAAGCATTGATATTTTAGTACCAAAGCAACTTCTAATTTAATGATCAAAGCAAAAACTTTGACAGAATGGAAGGAGAAGGAAACTTTTGGAAAAGAAGAGAAAGAGAAAGTCAAAACATATTTGTCCCTCTGTAACAGTAATGAAAAAATAAAAATCTATTACCTCCCTTGTTCGACAAGAATAAATCAGAGAAACTGCAGGATGATATTTGAAGATGAACTGTCCTTAATGCTTGGAGGTAAGTTCCCAAAACTGATGTATGAAAAAGTTGCATCTTTCTTTTATACCAGTAAAAGCTAGATCATATTCCTCGCCCACATCTAAGCTATTGGATCAACTGTACATTTTCTCTAATGACTGAACATCACTTTATGTAATTAGCAGCCCACCATGTTGATCTTATCTTCAACCTGACTTTCATAAGGATTATTTTTTTTTCTTATATAATGAAAAAAAGGTCAGATTGAGAGCACAAAGTCAGTGATGTATGAGTTTCCTGGGGAACTCAAACACTGAGCATCCATTTTTTTGCTGCAGTTTTCAGTGAACGGAAGATCATTTTCAAAAAAGAACAAATTACTAATGTTTTCTAACACTTCTTTTTAAACTGAGGGGTATTATTTTTAAAAAATCATAAAACACAACTATAGAAATAGCATTGTTTTAGCAGAGAATAAAAAAATAGAGCAACAGTGATGGATACAAGCATTTAGAAGAAATGACAGTTTGTAAATTCTCCATTTGAATTTAATGTCCAGAAAATGAATGCATGGACAAGCATAGAAATGTAGAAGGATCACCTTTATAAAGGTAAGATTTCTGGCAGGATCTTATCTTGTTTTTAGAATAAAGAATAAAGAAGAGTGCAGCTTAGAGGCTTTCGAGTCCTCAATTTCAAGTGACAGAGTCTGTGTCTATGCCGACTGAATAAGAAGGGTCCTACCCTGCCTTCTGGCACTGAGGCCAAGCGGTCCAGCAGGGCTCGCATCCATTGGATGATTCCCTTCCTCTTCTCCAAGGGGAGGCCAACATTCAAACACCTTTTGGGAACAGCCCCTGGCAATGCAGACAGCCTTGGGTCGGTGCCCAAGACTCTGCTGGGTTTCCAGGTCCTGGAGAGTGGAGGGAGGTTCATTTCAGATGTAAAAAATTTACTGCAGAATTTAAGTGCCTAAACCCTTGTTACTCACTCCGGATTGCCCTTACAGACAGTGGGGAGAAATAGCCATAAACATCTATTTCAGTACAGATTATGCCACTTTCATTGTGTGTCTATTTTTCATCATTGAGAACCCAGGGTGGCTACCTTGGACTGCTCACTGTCCTACCCAGAGAGATTTACAAATGTTTTATAGATTCAAAAAAATTCTTAAACTTCCAAAGGCTTTAAATGACCCATTAAGCCCCTGTGTCACACATTGATGGAGATGGGATATTGAAAGAGACCCCCTGCAGCTTTTCGTGTTCCTATGAAAATGAGGCTTTTTTTTTCCCAAAACAATCACTCTCTTACAAAATGTTTATTGTAGAGTTGGATTTGGTGTATTGCACCTCTGTAGATTTCTGCTCCTCCATTTTCTTCTCCCTTGCCCCGACTCTTTTTAATAACAGCAACACCCCCAGACTCCATTTGCTATTTCAGACACATTTATCGCAGCCTTTATCACCTCTGCATTCACTAACAACCTCATCTGCTTCAAGGTGTCAGACACCTCTTTCTCTTCCATTTGTTCGACTCATCACTGTAACAAAGTTAAAACAATTGTCCCCAGCCTACACTTGGCTTGAAATTGGCTCACTGAAGACAGATTTCTGCACCTGTAAGCTTGTCTGTTTTTTTAAAAAAAATGTGTGATGGTCTAATAAAAGATTAAAAAAAAATAAAAGTCTCTCTCCCCCCACAATTTTTGCTTCATTTGATAACAAAAGCATACAATTGAAATTTGAGAGCTATTGGTAAACATAGTTTATTAAGAAGCACTTCCCTGGAAGACAGGAGCTTAATATTTCTTGTCATTCAAAGCAAATTGATGAAAATTGCTCAAGTTCATAGAGTGCCTCTGTCTTGCCCATTTCATACTCACCTCAGCTTGCAGTCCTTTAGGAAAGCCAGGATGGCTTGTAATGCTTCACAGAAGCTAGAAAACTGTCTTCATAACAATGAAAATAAATAAACTTTGTATTGCATATTTGATACTTACTTACTATGTATTGTAGCAAATCATCTACCAGTAAAAAGCAAAAGCCATGCAAAACGTTTATTTCATTAGAAGGATTCAAGCACAGTGACAATGTTATCCCCATAGTGAAAAAGAAAAATAAAAGTGCCCACAACATGCTACTCTTTCACTATCAGAATGTATTAGGAAGAAATCTTGTGAAGTCAATGGAATTACACTGGCATAAAAGATAGTTTTTTAAAAAGCTCCTATATTTTTGAGAGGATTTCTTACTTTAGCTGCTCCAAATCTCTCCAACTAAAAATACTTGATTAAATCTGTCTTAATGTGTGACTGAATGAGAAATGAGAGAACGTGGCTCACTGTTTTGGAGGGGGAGAGGGCACCCTCTAGTTTATTAAATCACTTAGTGATACTCTCACAAGTGTTCTTGCCATACTGATATCATGATTTTATGGCCTGTACAAGCATATGGATGAAAATATACATCAATAGGTACCCCAAACTGGACCATCAAATATGCTTAACCAAGTTCAGTATTTTGCCATTCTGCATTGGAAAAATGCAACAAATTGCTAAAATTTTCAAGTTTCTTCCAGGCCAGTGTGTTCCTAAATTGGATTGGGACTCTATTAAGGAACATATGTGACACTAAATATAGCACTTGTTAAGGCTGAAATCAGTGTGAGCTCAGAACCTAAACATTATGGAGTTTCACAACTTTTGTCTCTTTCCTAGGAGCTGGGTCCCTACAGCTCCTTCTCTGGCTTTCTCTGGAAAGGAGAGCTCACGTCTCTTCCCCTGCTCTGCCAGATGCTGTCTCAGGGTATCTGTCCTACTTCCCTACTTAGAGATATCTGCTTATCTGCTGGCTGCTTCCTGACGCTGCCTCTTCCTTGCTAGAGGAAAGCTTTTCTACTGTGCCACTCAGCACTGTCTGCAAAAGACTGGTGAAGGGCTCTCTTGCTTCAGAAAATAAATGCTTCTATTCAAAAATAAGTCC